TTGCAGATTAGGAAAGCAAGGAATGGGGAAATTGATTGTAAGATACAACAAGAGCTTCCTATTGGAATTTTACCCACTATCTCCTGATAATACTTTAGCACTTGGCAAGTACTTCCCAGTCATTTGTGTAATAAGAATGAAAGCTAGCAGTTGCTACAAAGTGGATCGGGGATGAAATGAAGGAATTTGACTTGTGGGTGGCATAGCTGCTTGTGCCTGCCGTTTGGGCTGCTTCTGTGTAGTTGTGAGTGAGAACCCCTTTGGTGGTTTGGAGATCTGAACTCAGCCTCAGTGGTAACCTCAAAGGGTCTGCTGATCAAGTGTGCCAGTTCCCTGGGAATGGCAGAGGAACTTATTCCAAAAGGCCATGGGGAAGGTGAGGGACCAAAGCTCCTTTTCATTCCTGAGGGGCATTTTGAACTGAAGGCTGAGTCCACTAGTGTCTGGATCCACTGCCTGAGGTCTGGGAGAGCTTTCCGGAAGATGAGAAGTGGCCCACAGGAAGTGCTTTTTATGCTTTCCTGGAAAAGGGCTGCATTGTCTGCTTAGAGAAGCACACGTTAAAATTTCTTTACAGCAATCTTCTATTTCAAAATTACCAAGTCACAAAAAGAAGTTTCTTATTTTTAGAGTAGGATTTCAATATAGAATTGCCAAAAGAAAAGTAATTCGTTCCTTTTCATTTTGAAATGGATTGCTCAGCAAGCCAGCACATGTCTTGCTATGCTCCAGAAAAGTCCGGGGCTTTCCTAAATAAATTATCTACTGCATGTGAGATAAGTAGATGGTTTTCTCTCATTAGCCGCCTTTTTAAATTTATTGCCACATTTTCACAATATCAATTCAAAAACCCTGGGTGATCGGACATGTATCACTAAGAGAAATTATGGTAAAAAGTCAGGGAGTGACCTTCTATTTTTCATAATAACCGAAGTGTAATAAAAGCCACATGTAAAATAAGCCTGGAAGAAGAGATTATCTGCAGTAACATATGTTCAGTGTTAGAAATTAGAAATCAATTGCAAAACACAGTAGGAGTATGTCATTTTAAGGAATGGTAGCTCAAAAAAAAAAAAAAAAAAAAAAAAAAAAAAAAAAAAAAAGAAAAAGAAAAAGGAAATGACAGTTCATTATAGTCCTGTATTGAAGAAATAAAAATCCCTTCTGCTGTCTTGACTAACCATGGAACATGCCTTTTGTTTGCTATGGAAAAAGAGATGGCCTGGCCTCATATTTGGTACTCTGTATAGATGTGGCATAAATAGTTGTCAGCATAAGTAGATCTGTAACCCAATATTTATTAGGTAGATTTACAGCCTCAAGACTATCTACCTTCAGTTATCATATGTTCAGACTATGACCTCATGGTTAGTTGTTTCCATGTAGAAGGTAACTAACTGATAGGATAAATCCCTCATAACCAGTAAAAAAAAAGACTGCTGGGTATCCATTTAACATACATTTAATGAATACTCACTTTGTACAAGTTATCAATCTGGCCACTGGAGGTTTAAGATGACTCAAACCTGGCCCCTGTTTTGGAGGCTACTACATTTCATTGAAAGGCATTGCTTTGTAACCAAATGATCAGGACAATAGGATAAATACCATAGAGAATGTACAACATTCTGCAGGAACACAGAGGAAGGAAGTGACTGTTTGGACAAGTTCAATAAAGCTTCACAGAAGTAATGACAGCTTAGGCCTCTCAAGTGTAAGCTGTGTTATAAGGACTATGGAAGGAGATGGAGGCATTGCCAACTGGGTGAATCCTGTGTAGGGCATCCAGAAACCACAGACAGGCGTACGGCATGCTTAGGGTACCCTGCTCCATAGATCTAGCTTGCTCAAGGGACATAGCAGAAGACAGGGCTGAAATGCTAAGTACAGCTCAGTTTGTGACAGGTTTAAGTGCCATCCCTAAGCCTGTAGCCTCTATCCTGCTCATCCTTTGGCCCTATTCTGATTTTCAACACTAGGGATAATGTTAAAAATGTGTAACAAGTAGTATGGCACAGATCAGATTGGTCAGAAGTCAGGGTGGGGGGGTACCTGAGACCCTCTCCTATGTCAGGACCTTTCAGGTCCTGAAGCATAGTGTCTTTCAGGATTCCCAGGAATGGAACCAGACTATCAGGGAGGGACCAGGATGATAGCCATTTACCAATCAGGTTGGAAGTATTTTTTACGATTTTAAAAGCCCGTGCAGCTAAGGGTCTACACTGCGATCAGCCGATTCCTGAAGAGAACTAGGGGGTTGTACTTTAATTTCTCATCTCCTCTGCACCCCCTGGACAAAAATGATTTCATGCCTCAAGAATGTCTTGAGTTAATTACTCTCTCCTCTCCCCACTGCAGAGCAAACTCTCTAAGAAGAAAAATTGATTAAAACTTTTACAGATGAAGTCCAAGGTCTTTACCCGGCGTGCCTGATATTTGTGATCTGGTCCCTGTTGTCTTTTTAGTCTTTAGTTCTCATCATCCTCTCAGGCACTTTCTCCCTGGTGCAGTTTGCATAATGCTACCAATGAGCTCAAGTGATGGGGTGGTTTAAATGTTTCCTCTAGCAGACTTCTGACCGATGGCTAGCTGGGAAGGCCCCACAGGCTAGCACAACCTTGCATGTGGTAGATGCTTCTGTTGAATATCGATAGATTAGCCTGACATACCTTCTTAGGAGTGAAATTGGGTTTTTTATTTGCTTTTTTGTGTTTTTGTTGCTGTTGTTGTTGTTTATTTTTAAGTAGTGTCTTTGAATCAACAATAAGGCAGAGGCACAAACAGTGATTGGCACTTCAGATGATGAGTAGAGTCATTAATTGAAGGGTAGCTGAATAAATGAATGACAGACAGATTTCATGTATGTTCAGGGTAGAACTTGTTACTGGGAGCTTTGTATCCAATCTTTAGTTATAATGTAGTTTTAGTAGCTTATCCTAATATTGGCAGTGTTCCCATGTAACATTTATAAAATATAAATGAGATGTTAACTATAAGTGAAGTACCAAGTGTAGAGTAGAGTACCGAGCAGTGTGCTCAGCACAGAGTTAAATTAAATGGAAATGGATTTTGCCCTCATGAAGCTTACAGTCTAGCAAGGGAACCAGGTAATAAATAAGTAAACTTTCTTCCATCTCTGCTTTTCATCTGCTGTTGTCATCTCTTGCCTGGACCAGAGCAATGGCTTCCACACTGGTCTCTCTGCCTGCAGGCAAGTCCTTACACCCTCTCTACATGGCGCCCAGAGAGAGCTTTAAAAATCGGGGTTTGTGTCTATCTTGTTTAATCCCATTCATGACTTCACATTACAATTAGGGTAAAATCCTGATTTCTTTCCATGATCTCCAAGGTCAAGTTTGATTGGGCCTCATCCTATCCTTCCAGCCATGAATCAGTCCACTGTGCCCCACCATTCCTCACTGTGATCCTCTGTGCCCTGCTGGTCTCACTGTGTCCACTAGCTTCAGCCACAGGGGCAGCCTTCTATTCCTTGCACCCCTAAACTCCTTCCTTTCTCAAAGGCTTTGTTGGTGCAAACCTAGACCTGGCCACTTCCCATCTTTCAGATCCACCTAAAGTTGGTCCCTTCTACCCTTACCAGTGTTATTCTTTATTGAAGAGTGCTTCTTGGAATTTAACAGAATTTGTAATTATCTCTAAATTTGTTGGGGGGGGTGGGGGAAAGTTGTCTGAAATTAAGACTTTCCTGTGCAGTTGAAAGCTGAGAGGAGAGGATTGGATCTTGAGATTCTCAATGCAGGCACCCTTTTCTGATTCTAAAGGGATACCTAATTAAATTACTTAGGTGTATAGTTCCCAAGTCTCTTCCAATCAGCAAAAGAATTCTCTCTACCAATTTTGGTCAGAATGAATACCTCTGCAAATAGATTGTGCTCCACTGTGAAGCAAACATTTTGAAAACCAGGGTGCATTAACAGAAGCATGTGTTGGGCTTAACCATACAGACAGTGAACCAAATTTGAATATATCCAGTCATTTAGAATAGTCCTCTCTTTGCAGACATGCTAAGGTGAGAAGTAAGCCTAATAGTAATAAAAAAAAAATCAAATTCTAAAAGAGGAGGACATTTTTAAAAAATATTTATTTATTTATTTCGAGAGAGAAAGAGAGAGAGAGCAGGAGAGGGGCAGAGATAGAGGGAGAGAGAGGATCCCAAACATGGGGCTTGATCCCACAAACCATGACATCATGACCTGAGCTGAAATCAAGAGTCAGATGCTGATGTTTAAACAACTGAGCCACCCAGGCACCCTGAGAAGGACATTTTTGAGTGTTAAAGGAAAAACTCTGGTTTAGGAACAATGTATGGTTAGAAAGTCAACTTGTAAGAGAAAGACTCTCAAGATATATGCCGAGAGCAGAAGCTGGTGGGGCAAACCAGACACTAGGGGGACTAGAAGAGTAATGAGGAAGGACAGAAGGAAAGGGTTGGGGTAGGACAGAGAGAGAGAGAGAAGAGAGGGATGGAAAGAGGGGAGAGAGCAGTAAAAATCCAGAAGTACCAGGTCTTTCAAGGTTTAATCAAGGACAAAAGTACATGGCATTCGTCCTTGCTGATTCTTGATGGTGTTGAACGTAGGAGTAGTGATCCTGTCAACGGTTCATCATATGGTTACAAAAGGCAAGGTGGCAAGGTGATAGAGGGCCATCTGATTTCATTAGACAGACCATCTTTGTCTTGAAAATTATGATTCCCTTCCCTGTGATTCTCATTACTCAAAAGCCTCTGATTTCCTGTTCCAAGTCTCTTAGCAGTCATTTATGGAAGTTGTACTTCTGGCCAACAGAAATAGGTATTGTGGGGGGTGTTTTTTTTTTTTTTTTTTTTTTTTTTTTCTCCTGGGATATACATATGTGCATCGCGATTTAGGAATGAAGGCACCAACATCCTCCTTATAAATTCTAAAATCTTTGAAAGAAAAATTGCAACCAGCCCTTTCCACTATAGACTGTTCACTGATTTTGCTGTTTGCCTGCAGTCTGCCATGAGTCCTGTTCTGCCTGCTGGGGTCCGACAGAGAAGCACTGCTTGGGCTGCAGAGACCCCCTCCAAGTGCTGAGGGAGGGCAGCTGTGACAGCAGCTGTGGCCTTGGGTTCTACAACAAGCAGGGGATCTGCAGTGGTAAGTGCCTGGCTTTGCATGCCAGAGCATCTTTTTTTTTGTTGTTGTTTTTCTTCCAGCATCCCTCATTTTATTCTAATTAGAACGTTTCTTTTACTCAACCAATATGAAAATGGCTGGTAACATTGGCAGTGTTTTAGTAGTTTACAAAACACTTTTTTTCTGAACTGATAGGATCACCTTTAACACCCCCACTCTTCAACAGCTTGTTAGGTTAGGGTGTTCATTCTAGCCTCATCCTCTGAGACTCAGGCTGCTTGCTCCAGACTCTCAGCTGTAGGGAGAGGAGCAAGGCTTCCTTCCTCCGATTTTGAAACTCCTCAACAGCGCCAGACAGCCTTCCACATATGCATGTAAATAAAGACACTCTTAGACCAGCCAAAGGCAGACCCACCTCTGTGTTGGTGCCCCTGACTTAGCTGAAGCAGTTACTGTGTATTCTACCTTTAATGCCCACGGCATGACAGTAAGAGTTAACGTTTAATGCCCACGGCATGACAGTAAGAGTTAACCTAGTGTTTCCTTCCAAGCCCTTTACAAACATTACCCACTGGGGCGCCTGGGTGGCTCAATTGGTTGAGCATCCAACTTTGGCTCGGGTCATGATCTCACCACTCGTAGGTTCCAGCCCTGCGTCCAGCTCTGGGATGACAGCTCAGAGCCTGGAGTCTGCTTCGAATTCTGTGTCCCTTTCTTGCTCTGCCCCTCCCTTGCTTGTGCTCTGTCTCTCTCTCTCTCAAGAATAAATAAAACATTAAAAAATTAAAAAAAATAAAACATTACCCACTGAGAGGCAGAAAAGTATGGGGGGAAGAGCATGACCTTGGGCAGGTTACATAATCTCTCCATGTGTCAGTTTCCCTTTTGTAGAATGGAGGTAATAGTGGCAGCTGTGGTAGACAGAATAATGGCCCTCAAAGATGTCTATATCCTAATAGCCAGAACTTGTCAATATGGCTGCCTTAAATGGCAGAAGGGATTCTGTAGGTGTGATTAAGTTAAGGATCTTGAGATGGGAGAGCTGATCCTGGATTATCCGGGTGAGCCAGTTAACTGTAAGGGTCCTTCTAGGAGGGAGGCAGAAGGGTGGAAGTCTGAAAAGGAGATCTGAGACAGAAGCAAGAGTCGGGGTGATGCCAAGACGGGGCAGTGGGTATGCAGGCGGCCTCTAGACTTGGGGAAGAGACAAGGCAATGGATCTGCCCCTAGGGCTTCCATGCAGTCCTGCTGATGCCTTGGCTTTAGGACTTCTGACCTCTAAAGCTGTAAGATAATAAATTTGTGTTGACTTAAGCCACTGAGTTTGTGGTAATTTGTCACAGCAGCAGCAGGAAACTAACACACACCCGGCTCAGAAGGCTATTGGGAGGACTGAGTTGATATAGGCAGGCATTTAGCACAGTGCCTGGCACAGATTAAGTGCTGTGTTTGGTGTCTGTTCCTCACAACAGTTTCAGGAGATGGTTATTATTACCATCCTCATGGTCCAGAGGAGACAGAGAGGTTAAGAAACTCCCTTAAGGTCACATATCACTAATAAGGGGCAGAGTTGGGATTCAAGCCTAGGTCTTCTAGCTTTAGATTTTACTTGCCTCCCAACTGCTCTACTGGCTATAATGAGATACCTCCCTCTGCACCTCCCCTATTTTTCCCTACCTTCTCCTTCTCATTATTGTCTCTGGCTATCCTCTTCTTCCCCTTTCTCCCTGTCTTCCTGTCAGTCTTTAGATCAGCCGCTGCCCTGTGGACATTGCCAAGTCCACAGGTAGGCACCTGATAGTGAATGAAAGGTTTGAATTGAGTTTACTGTGATGGTCATACCTACAGGAAGGCTGTGATGCGTTTTTTGTTTTTTTTTTAACAAAGTCCCACTAAATCAATAAAAATGTACAGCCCATAAAACTTTCTTGAGTTATTGTCCTCGTTTTGTTTACTGAGCAGGGCAACAGCAAAAATGAGATGATCTTTGGGATTTGACAAATCCACTTGTCTTAGGAAAGAGAGATAGCCCCTGGCAGCTGCTTGCTTAAAGCTGTGCAGAGATCCATCAGCATCACTGGTGTGAAAAATCTCACTTGATGTGGACGAGTCACAGGTGGCTTTTGTGTAGCTTCAGGAGAAAACAAGGAAAGAAGGTCCAGGCTGCCGTTAGCCTGAGCATTTTAATCTTTTTCTGCCAGCATCACTTTCCTGCTCAATTAATCCAGATGCATTCTCTAAAGGTCAGCACATGTCAAATTTGCACAAATCCAAAGGCATTTAGCTTGTAAGTCCCCAAGGAAGCTGGCTACTGTCACTGATGAGGGGTGGTGACACTGACCTGCTACTGAGACGATATTATCTGGATTGAGAAAGCAACTTTTGCTGGGGAAACAGGTATTTAAAGGGAAGACTTGAAAAAAAAGGAGGGATTAGTGTGAGCCTTGAGGTGGTGAGAAGTGGAAATCTACTTTGGCTAAGAAGTTGGATGAAGAAAGCCAGACCTCCTTACTGACAGAACAAATGAAAAAAGAAGACTACTGAACAGGTGGCTTAGGGAGGGAATACACATCTGGAATGCTATCTGTATACATTTTGAAACAAAGCATCAGAAAAAAAAAAGCCTTCCAAATAGGAGGATGGACCATTGCTGACATTAGTCAGCCAACCAGTCAATTAATCAACAGGTAATTACTGAATGCCTGCCATTTGCTTAGCATGATGCAAGACTTTGTGATACCATTGACATTGACCAACAGGCCTTTTGATAAAGACTGGAGTTTATACTTTTCATAAAATTCTTAGAGTTCTCTAAGTTTGTGTCAAATGCCTTCAGAAGTGTTTGTATAAATATTTTCCCAAACATCAGTGAACCAAGTCACTGATTGGTATCGGAATGTTAATTAAAACGTCTGATGCTGATAATGCTGACTTATTTCCAGTTCAGTTCAGTGCTATTCAAGATAAAGGCCAGCCAGTGTTGGTTTAATAATTTATAACCGAGCAGCCCATATCTGTAGAAATCTCAAAGTCAAGTGCTGAGAAAAATCCAGCACAACCTGTCATAAACGGAGGTATGCCCTGGCTGAAAGAATTTATAGCAACCAAGTTCATTGGTGGTTCATGCTTTGAGTTTTACAAATGTTAGATAAAAAGGGTGGGGAAATTCAAAGGACAAAAACCTCCTCATTCTTTAGTCTTTTAAGTACTTATGCTATTACGAAGGGCTTTTCTGACTCTAGCTAACATAATAAATCAAAGTAAGTTCAGAGGTTTCTGTTAGCCATTCTCTCTCTCTTCCTTCCTCTTCTCCTTTGTCTCTCTTTCCTTCCTTTTATATTCATTTCCCTTCCTCACCAAGGCAACTATTTTAATTTTTTTATCTCTTTGTTTTTATGGTGTCATGTAAAATGGATGTTTTCTTGAGTATATATGCCTTTTTTTCCCCCTTAAATGATCTTGTGTCATGAAGTTCAGGTTATCTTTTTTTCACTCAGCATTATGGTTTATGAGTCAGCCATGTTGCTATCTCATCTAGCCCTTTGCTTCTCACTCCTTGGTCTGCATCCCCCATAGCTCACTCATCCACTGTCCATGAGGGACTCCCCACCTCCCTCCATCCCCATGCTGTCACTAGAGAGCACCAGTGAAAAGCCTCAAACATTCCCTTTTATGAACCTGTGTGGAAGGTTCCTGGGGATGGGTAATCTGGGAGCAGAATTGTTTGTTTCTTATCTCTGCATATTCTTTATTAGACTAAGTAGTACCAGGTAGTTTACCAGCTTCTCTAATCTTAAGTGTGAAGGTTGTCTCATCTCCACATCCTTGCTACTGTTTGGCATTATCATCAAGCTTCAGATTTTTTTTTTTCTTCTGGTTAATAGATATACTGGGACATCCCATTTTAATTTGCATTTTTCTGATTATTAATGAGTTTGAGAGTATCTTCAACTCCAATTGGACTGGGATCCCCACCCCCAAGGCCATTTTGACTTTAAGTCCTATATTAAATTGGATATCCTGGTAGGTGTACCTGCCAGCTATGTTATGGTTAGTTCAATGAATAATTATCTGGTTCTACTTCAACTATGAAAACAGAAAGTACAGAGTACTTTGAAATGTTGGAGTCAAGGAAACAGAACTCAGATGAGCAGCCAGAGAATGTGATTTCCATGTTAATACCAATTATGGACATTGTAAAGAATAGACTTCTCTGCTCCCTTTGCTCACTGTTGACTTTCTCTGGTGGGTTTTCCTCCCCCTTAGCTTGTGACCAATCCTGTAAGAGTTGTGGTCCCAATAGTCCCAGATGTCTTACCTGTGCCGAGAAGACAGTGTTGCATGATGGGAAATGCATTGCTGAATGCCCTGGTGGGTACTATGCTGAGGCCACTGGCAGCTGCAAAGGTAAGACATGGGTAATCATTATCATCATCAAAAAATATTTAACGCATTTGACAATACTTGCTGCTCATTTGGGAATTTGTGTGTATGATGGGAAAATGTCAAATTAAAAGGAATAGCTTTTTCATTATAGAACCTGTGTGTATTTGGTGTGGGAGTGGGTGATGCGGGTGGGTACTGGAGGACTTGAGTGATTAAGTAAAGTACTTATGCATACCAATCACCTATTAGAGATCATTTGGTCCTTTTCAATGCCGAGAACATCTTTAAGATATTCATATAGTCTTTGTGTACTTATAAACCCTCACTAACTTAGGTTGTAGGTATGACAGAATCCCATCTTAGATGGCATTTACAAATACATGTATTGGCAACTATGACACGCCACAGAAAGTAAAATAAAAAACCAAGTTTGATGTCTTGTAAAGCTGACATCTGTATCTATTGAAAATTTGATCTTATATGCTATATGTATTGTTTCTTTCAGATTCGTACAAATTTAACTATGAAACATTTCTATTTTAGACTTTATAAGTTTCTACTTATATATGCTTGACTTGTGTCTTTCCTTGCAGGCAACTCTGGGAACTTATTGCTGCCTGGGACACCTTGATTGCCCCTCTCCTCCCAAACAAACATAAATATTTTCACTTCTACCTATAGTGTGGGTTAGTGGCAGAATATTGAGATCTGCCCCACAGCCTTGACTTATCAACCTCCCTCCTGTCTGCCAACCTCTTTACTCACCCAGTGTATATTCCTTTTCTGCAACATCCTGCCCCCAAGGGTCTCATCCACTTCCACACTCCCCTTTCCCGGCTCCTGCCCATTGTTCTCTGGAGTCTTTTAGTATCTCAATCCTGTCCCTTAGGACAGGCCATGGTAATATCTGTAAATTAGAGTCAGAGATGTCCCACTGTTACCACCCAGGACCACAGTAGCAAAGATGCATGCCTGCCACTGTCACATGTAATGGTCAGATTGTTTAATAGAATTCTTACTTAAAATCTTGTAATGTCAGAAGTGTCTTAAATGACCAGTTAGTCCCACCTCACTGTGCATGTGCCAAGAAACCTAGGCCTGGAGAGACTCTGACTGGGCTAAGGACATAGATGAATTAGTGGACAAGTCAGCCAAAATTCCAGTGCTTCTAGCACTCAGACGTGTAAACTTTCCACCCTTCCCGATTCAGGTTCAGGGTTTTAGGTTCAGATAGACCTAGGGCTAAATCCCAGCTCTGCTGCTAATTAGCTCTGTGATCTTCGGTAAATTTTTTAACTTCCCAAGACTTCAGTTTCTTGTCTGCAAACCCTCAAAATTGCTATGAAGTTAAATGCAGCAATGTGTATAAAACATTTAACACAAACACTAAATAAAAGGTAACTAATGAATAATAGAACATGGATGGATAAAGGGGCATTGTGGGCAGTTCTGGTAATATAACCCTCTCTTCATACATCTCTCCCCTTGATTTGGTGTGACAGCTGAAAGGGATTAAGAGTGACCCAGGAGGGGCTTCCTCCCACATAAAGAGCCCAGGCAAGAAGGAGGCTCTTTAGTCCTGGGTCCCATGGTTCTCTCTCGCTCTCTTCCTCAGTTTGTCATCATTCATGTGCCAGCTGCTCCGGACCCACGGCCTCTCACTGCACAGCCTGCATCCAGCCCCAGGCTCTGCGCCAAGGCCGCTGTCTGTCCAGCTGTGGAGAAGGCTTCTACCCTGACCACGGGGTCTGCAGAGGTACTGTTGGTGTCATTTTCACTCTTAGGTGACTTTTGCATCATAAGGACAAAGATTTAAGTTACTTTTCAGTGCACTTTTCCCTATAGTGTATCTTACATGGCTATGCATACGTTATATGCTTTTTTTTTTTTTTCGTTGCCAAGGGCTACTCTGAAAAACTCACATGGGAATATTTGTGATGACACCCAAAAGTTCATGATTTTTCAGGCCATCCTTGAGAGGACTGTCATTTCCCTTACTGTATGTTAAGATGAAACCAAACTCTTCCTCCTTTTTCCTGTTCTAAGAGAATTGCTAATGTTTTGGGGGTTTTTTGTTGTTGTTGTTGTTGTTGTTGTTGTTTTAATTTTTTTGCCTTCAGTTTGTTTTTCCCTGAAGAATTTTTTTTAATGATATAGCGGAGCAAACTGAGTTAGTAGCAATGCCTCTGGCTGAGTGAAATGGAAACTCTTTAATAGCTGTTTGCCAAAAAGGCTTTGGGCTCATTGGGAGGGTGGGGTCATTGCCTTTTGAAACTATAACACTGGGAGCAAACACTTTAATTAAGTGAAATTAATGTATGTTTGCTTATATGGTAGGGCAGCTTGGAAAAGAGTTTGAGAATAGTTACCCAAAAAATGTATTTAAAATAGGGTAACTATAATAAATATTCTGCAAAAGAAAATTTAGAAAATCTTTTAAAGAACTCTTCTAGAATTAATTGTATCAAAGTTTAGTATATTAAAGAGCCCTTTTAAAGAGTTGATTATATCAAAATGTGGGCATGAAATAGTTCCAGTACTCTATCTGGCTCTGATTTCAACCTGTAGCCGAGGAAAATAAGAAACTATGATGGATTGTCAAATTCTTGTTACTCCTCCAAAGGGGACTGACTCTTCCTGGTCTAGAAAAGCAGCCTTTCCTCACATAAGTTCTAAGAAAAATCTGTTGCCTGGACACCTGTACGGTGGGTGATGGATGACACGGTAGACAATAACGTAACAACCATTTTTGCAAAAAATACAGTAATGGCCTTTGTGTTGCTGCCTGTTAAAATCTTCAATAAAAACTGAGGCCATGATATTAAAACATCATTCAGTGAATGTGTATCTGGAGAACCAAGCCAATATTGTCCAGTTTGCTGTTTTTTTCATACTCTAGCTTGACAGCCTTTACAAACCTGAGAGATGTGACCAGTTAACATTACCCTCACTGTGCCTCTCATGAATATTATCACTCTGTGCTGTGTATAGAACACTAGAAGGTAATTTTCTGATAAGATGTATCAGGTGAACTCTTCTAAGTAGTTTAGATTTAATTAGGGACTCCCCTTGGTTGCAGCATATATGTGACCCTTGGATTGTTTTCTGCATTTTATTCTTAATGGCAGCCTGTCATTCCTCTTGCCTCACTTGTGTGGGTCCAGAGCCCTCTCACTGTGCCCAGTGTAAGAAGCCTGATGAAGGACTGCAAGTTGAGCAGCTGTCTGGGGAGAACATCACTTCTGGCGTGTGCCTGTCCCAATGTAGAGACCAGTTTTACTTGGAGAACACTGGACTTTGTGAAGGTGAGGAAGCATGATTTGAGGAAATGTTAGGTAGCTTCTGGGCTTTTCTCTGGAGAGATCCTGGGAGGTGGGACCAAAGCCAGTAGCCCTTTGTGTAAACAAAGAACTGTTCCAGGATACTTGTGGATGGAGAAGACCGACATGCAAAGGAGACCCCACTCATGTTCTCCTTTCCTTGGTGAATAATAGATGATCTTAAAAAGCTGGTTCCATTTACCCCACTGTCCCTAAAGTTACATTCTAAGAAGTTCCAGACAGGAATTATTTCAGAGACAGTATGAGTAGCTAAGAAAGGCCCAGTGCTCATGGTAGAATTCCATTTATTATTTCTTCCAATTTGCTACTCTGAATATGAATTGGCCCCTTCAGGGCAAAATCTGGACTTCTGTCAAAATTTAGAAGTGACTCCCGCCATTGCCTTAGCATAGCATCTACAGAGAATTGATGCCATCTTGAATAATTTGACTCAATAGCTGGATCCTCTATGAGTGGTTGAGCAGATGAAGGGGAGAGATGTGTAATTTTGGGGGGAGGTAGGGGAGGCCCCTCTCTGCTCTTACACAAAGTTGCCTTGCTGTTGGATATATTTGACTCTCGAGCTACTTGAAAAAATCAATACTCATATTTTTCATTGTGAGCATAATGTATGTTCATTAAAGGAAACTTTGAATGTAGAAAGATAACCTGCCCACCATCTACCACCATCTACCACTTGGGTAATTACTTTCACCATTTTGCTGTAATATAGCCAAGTCTTTTCCTGTGCATAAGTTTGAGTTTTTATTTTTACCACATAACTGTTAAGCATGCTGCAGATTCAATTTTGTATCCTACAATATCCAATTTTACATTGGAAGTTACTCTCACATGGAAATGATGGATTTCAAGGTTAAGTTAAAAGATTTTAACACAGTGAGTCCTATGGAATGGTAGGAAGTATGTAGATTTGGAACACAGAGACCCCAAGCTAGACATTTAAGCTCTCTGAGCCTTTGCATTCACAGCATTAGAATAGGGATAACTATCTTTCACAGACCTTTTGCCAAGATCAAAGGAGGTTAGGAGTGTGAAAGTTCTTGGCAAATTGTAAAGCCCCATGCTCAACTGTAATAAATCTCAGTCCAAATACTCAGGTACTCAAGAACATTATAGAGGTAATACCGTGCTCCCTGGGATGCACCAGGCTTCAGGGAAGTTACACAGTGCCCAGAAATTAGGGAAAGGGTCTTTACTCTCTAAATACACTGATTCCTACCCACGTATGCATTGCCTAAACTCTCTGTGGTCGTTTAAACTCTCATGGTTCTGTTTCCACAACCAGTTCTGAAATACAGGAATCTTTATCACTAAGAGTCCCGGTGCCTTCCCAAGGCACACACCATACAGCCTTCCCCTCTGATCCTGGGAGAAATAAAGAAGAAATCTTCCCAGGCTACTCAGCATAGTTAGCCTCTTCCTATAATTTTGGACACTATATTAAAAGTGAAAAATAGGGAATTTGAAGAGGGATCAGAAAAGAGAAACAAAAATTAACATTTGTAAAGTTAAGTCGTAAATAAATATTGGAGTGACCAAGGTTATTCAGCCAGAATATAATGCTACTGTTGATTTGGTACACACCATGAACCACACGCTAAGTGAAGTGCCTTACTTGTTGTTCACATAGCTTTGGTACCTTATGGGGTAGGGGGACAACTGTATTAGAGGAGAAGAAATGGAGGCTTCCAGAAGTTAAGGCTATAGCTTGTTCAAAGTCATGTAGCCAGCATAGAGGAGAGTCCAGTGGATTCTAAGTCAGCCTGACTCCAGTATCTATGCCCTAAACCTGGGGGCTACTGTGTTATGGTTGCTAAAGAGGCAAAAGCACAGCATAGTAAAATGCTGCAGGATTTAAGGAAGCATCCTTGACAAAGGAGAGTTTTCTGGGAATCCCTTTATACAGACACCTTTTTAAAAGGATTACAGTCTAATCCTTGTAGAGTGGTTTAATTGTGGCCCCATGGGAAAGGTCTAGATTGACCTCTGTAGTCCCCTGTACCCCGTGATTTTATGCCAGTTAACATAATATTATTAGGTATCACACATATAGCTATCTACTCACATTTATTACCAAATCCTTGCGCAATCTCTGCTAGGTAGATTGTTGTACTCAATTTATAAGTGATGGGAATGTCGCAGAAAAAGGTTAATTGAGTTGCCCAAGATCCCATTGGGAAACTTGAGTGCAACCACCAATTGTTTCCAACCCTATCTGAGTATTAAGTGTGTTGACTGATGTGTTTCCTGTCACTCATCTCATATCTTTGGAAACCTTTTTGCCTCCTCCCAGTCTGTTCCATTGTCGATTCTGCCAAAGTGTTGTCTATGAAGTCAGGCTTGAGAGCCCTATGAGATTGCACTGGGCTCTCCTTTTCGCGCATACCCAGAAATGCCCTTGCTTCTGTGCAGAACATTTCAAAGGGTTGGAGTTTTTTTGTGGCTGTACCATTGAGAGTTTATTTTGCAGCACTTTTGATCTCAAGTGCCTTTCTATAAAGAAGAGAAAAACAACTATTTTCTGGAACTCTCCCTCTTCCTCTCTCTCTGAGACTGCAGTACAGAGTGATTAGAATATTACTGCAGCTAATGAAAGCGAGAAGCAGATGCATTATAGGAAGAAGCAATTTACTTAGAGTCTGAAGTGGTGTCAGAAGTTATCATGAAAGTTTCTACTCAGAGCTACATGACAAACCCAGGAATTATCTTGTGGAAGATGAAACAAAACTACTCGAGATATTTGACTAACATCCAAGACTATGATTGAAGGACGAAAAAATACAAAATTAACAAACAGTGACCAAAGAGAACCTTGTTGATGAGTAGCTCAAGGGCAGTCTGTTTTTATTCATTCCTTTTACGGATTTCTATTGAGTGGGCCCTGGATGGCAGGCATTGTCTGGGCACTGGAGGTACACTCAAGAATGAGTCCGACAAAATCCCTACTGTTGTGGAATTTATATTCTAGTGAGAGAAACAGGTAATAATGAAATGAATAACAACATTAGCAACAAAACCCATGTCAGGTACTTGAGTAGTGGTCTGTGCTGTGAAGCCCACAGCGGGATAAGAGAGGGGGAGAAAGAGGTGGGCTGACGTGCGCTCCAAAACAGAAATACTTTGGTGAGCTGGGGACGGCCACCTGCATGTGTTTGTCCTGTGATTTTGGCTTATGCTCAAAAATGAACTTGGGTACTTTAGAAGATGGAGCTTTGACGTTAATGCTTTTTTTTTCCATATAGCCTCTGTGTTTGCAAAATGTGGCTACAATTGCTGGTACAAAAGACCGTCTGTTACTAATTGTGAAAGACAATGTGGAGGCATTTTCAGTAGTCAACCCAAACTGTTGCATGTTTGTTGAATATTAACATTTAGTATTAACATTTAGTACTTAGTATTAACTCAAAGAAGGATTTCAGTAATGTTATCCAGAGTTCATTTCACCTATTTAACTGATTCTGTCAGCATTGACAGATTCTAGTTCATTAAAAAAACAAACAAACAAACAAAAAAAACAGGAAATACCCATCAGCTCCCTTGCACAAATAAAATAATAAAAACTCAATTCCTCCAAAACTTTCAAAGATCAAAAAACTATACTTTACTTTTTTTTTCTTTTCAAATTTTTATTTAAATTCTAGCTACTTAACATACAGTGCAGTGTTGGTTTCAGGAGTAGAATTCAGTGATTCATCACTTACATATAATACCCAGTGCTCATCACAACCTAGTGCCTCCTTAGTTTCCATCACCCATCCTAGCCCATCTCCCACCCACCTCCCTCTGTCAACCCTCAGTTTGTTCTCTATCTTTAAGAGTCTCTTAGGGTTTATTTCCCTCTCTCTTCCCCCCACCCCCCCATATGTTCATCTGTTTTGTTTCTTAAATTCCACATAAAAGTGAAATAATATTATCCCTTAATTTTTTATTCATCTATCCCAATTGGTTTTCCAGGCCTCCGTGAGTTTATGAATCCATATGAAGTCCCCAGGGTAGAGGTGGGTAGAAGGTTGCTACCTTGTACAATTCCAGGAGTGCCATTCTTATGGTAATTCCCAAGACGGATACCTCCTGGGGGCATTTAGTGACTGTGCAGCCTATGGTGGATGGACAGGACAAAGGACCTGGAGCTCTTGTCACTGGGAGGCTTTTCCTCTTTCCTACGAATGTTCCTAAGATCAGGCAGATCTCTAAATTCCGTTTCAGATTTTCCTTCCATTATTGTTGAGGTGTTTTGTTTTTGTTTTTTCTTTCTTTTAAAGTGTTCAGCTATTTTGAAACCTTAGCTTTTAGTTGCAGTCTGTCTACATCAGAGCTTTTCATAAGAATCTGTTGGGAATCTTGTGAAAATGTGGATTCAGATTTAGTAGATCTGGGATAAGGCTAATGCTCCTGGTCCAGGGACTATAGGTGAGTAAGCAAGCCTCTAATTTAAGAAGGGCAAGTATATCATTTTATCATTGGTATCCTTCTTTCTAACTAAAGCAGTTTAATTTTTTTTTTAATTTTTATGTATTTGTGGTGAGAGAGAGGAGAGAGAGATACATGAGCCGCTACAAGGGTGGGGAGGGGCAGAGAGAAGGAGAGAATCTGAAGCAGGCTCCAGGTTGTCAGCACAGAGCCTGATTGCCTCTACAAACCAGATCCATGACCTGAGCCAAAGTCAGCCGCTTAACCAACTGAGCCACCCATGCGCCCCTTGCCTGGGATATTTTAAAATGCTATTCGCTGTTTATCTTAAGTTGAGATTTAACTAGGTATCTTTTATTTTATCTGTAAATCCTACTTATAACCCTTCAATCTTGAGATAACCTCTTTTAATCTTTTGGCATATTTTCTTACAGTTATTTATACGCATACTTGTGTATACACACACACACACACACACACACACACACACACACACACCACTTCATGGCTTATAAGTTCCTTACAACCAATTATTTTATTAGAAATTTTGTGAG